GAAAAGCATCTATGATTTAAAAAGAACTGTGTTGTCTTGACTTTTCTAAACTCCAGAATGAGCTTTATTAGATGCTGCAGAGATTACAGCTGAACCTGTTCGATCCCCACCCACTGAGCCGGTCTCATGATGCCTGCATGACCAGGCTTTGTGTGTGAGCCTGGGTGGGCGGCGGACAGAGCCTCCTTTCACCGGCTCCGCTCCGTAACGCGCTCCGGAGCACGTCCCCGCGTGCGCCACAACTACGGACACTACGGTACAACACTGCCTGAAAAAAAAAACCTAAAAAAAAAACTAACTTCCCCGCTGCTGTTCGTGATGACGTCATCGCGCTGCGGGAGGACACGAGCAGCTAAAAACCCTCCCGGGTCCACTCGGCACCTGCCACACATCTGGACTGGACTGTTTTACCGCAAAGACTTCAACATAAAGGTAAGAAGGCAACTTTTATTTTCTCAACTATAGGGGATTAATTTTCACACAGAGTGTAAATGTTTAAACACAAGTTGACATAAATTACAGAAATGCTTTAAAATACGAGAAATAAGAAACTTAACTGCTGCTGTATTTTAAACTCTACCGAGTAAGTTGCTCTTCAGCAGCACTTTTAGCTCATATATAAGCTGAAGTTGAGCAGAGACTGAGGAAGTGAAGGGAGTTCTGAGGTTTTATTGAATTCAGAATACAAACAACTGCTCTGCCTCACAGGGAGGCAGACATCCCCCATTAGACATCTGAGGGGTTTAAAAGCTTTCCGGAGGTCAGTAGACCTCACAGATCATTTGAATGTCCAGATGTTTGTTGATGCCTTTTAGAAAACAATTACTCATAATTCTTCCCTTTTTTTTTTGCCTCCATTTTTTAAGGTTTTTCTGGATTTTTTGCTGTTTTGTTTGAACAATTGGATACATCCAACTCTGTGGAGCTTCAGTTTGGGAGTTTTTCCTCCTCATCCTCACAGATCAAGATGCAGCAGCTGGAGGACGGCAGGGTAAACAAAGCTCTTTTTTACATTTGTTCCTGCAGCACTTGCTGCATAAAGCTTTATTTGATTTTTTTTTCATGTAACTTTCAACAATAGGCTAGCTGTGAAGCCATTCTCCACATTTCTGTATTTTTCCACTGTGGGAACAGCAGAGGCACCACATGAGAGCAGAACATTTCAGGACGTGACAGCAGGCATGAAAAAACTAAACTAGGCAGGATAGTTGAGTGCAAGTTTGAACTTGAGCGCACTTTAATTCCCTGCACACTCCAAACAGGCCTGGGATGAGTGACGCAGCAAAACACTGACAGGAATTAATAACAGGCCGAATTACGCAATATACATTTATTTAAACTTTAAATGCTTAACGTTGTAAAACTGATCATCGGTTAACTTGCTGTGTAAGAAGCCGTCAGCTTCGCAAACCTTTGCTGTGGTTTGCTTTTGTAAGAATTTGCTTCACGTGTTACATCACATTTTTGCTTCATCCGAGAAAGAAAAACTGACGGCAAGATGACATGAATATGGAAGCAGGGTGATGAAAAATTTACTCACTTGATCATTTTTATGTTTAATAAAGAAAGACTTTAATATAATAATAATAAAAAAAATGAATCAGGGTAAAGCACCTGGAGAAAAATAACCAAATCAGTCCTTTTTTGGGGTCATTTAAGGTCATCAAACCTAAAATAAATCCATTAAAGACAGGAATTTAATCGTATTAATAAGCAAAGTTAAGACTAATCTTATAAAAACAGAACATTGACAAGGTTTCTTTAAATAAACCAAACCTTTCAGTTGCCAGGTTTGTAACAGTTTAAAGAAGGATGCTTAAAAATGCTCGAAAAATCGAGTTTAAATCAGTTGTCGCTGGTGCTGGTTCACAAGCAGAATGCTCAATAAGCTAAAGGAAAGTTGCCGAACATGCAACAATGTAAAAAATGTTTTTACAAAGGTAAAAGTGCAACAGTTGTCAGCTACGAGTTTCAATAACAAAATCAAAGCACGTGTTTTGTGGCGTGTTTGTATTTTTGCCGATGATATGTTGTTTTATAAAGAATAGGTCCAAATGGTAAAATGTGTGGCAAAAAGATACATATTTACCAAATGGTTAAAAGAGTGAAGGACCTAATTAATTAAATGAAAACATGCATTTAATTTAAGTCCTTGTTGCCCTTCCAGCAATCATAAAATGATAAAGTGAGTCTTGAGTTTTTCTTTAGCTTTTGTCCTGAATTAATCTAGAAAAAGGGTATTTATGAGCCAAGAGGATATACTGGTACCCAGTTTTTACTTTTTACATCCCCCAACAGAGAACTTAGCGTTCTCTTGCTCTTAGCAGCAGAAGATGTTGAGCATCATCACTTTCTTTCCTTGTGGTTGTGAAGGAAACGTACGTGACACGAGGACGAGCTACAATGACTGCAGCTCTTTGCAGCCACAAGCCTGACAACGTGTTGGTACAACCCCGAGCCAGCCGTGGTATGATCGTACGACACTGTTTGGAAGTGATGCTCCCCGCTCAGATGGCCACTCCTTAATTAGAAACTATCATATAGAAATAAGAGGATTTTAAGGCTACAGTTGTATCTAAATCCACATCGGCATCACCCTGCACATTAAATTAATTTTTATACGAGTGCACACCCACAAGCATCAGCTCTGCTAAGTTTCAGTCAGTTGAAAACGATTATTGCCCACCGGCATGAAAGGCAAACTGCCTGTCTGCGTGTGTTATTGTAGTTTGTCTGTCTGTTAGCAAAATATCTCATGAGCCAGCAGCTGGATTTTGATGAAACTCTCAGGAAGTAATCAATGGGTTTACACCTACAACTGTTTAATGTTTGGAGTTTATTCATTTCAAGATGGCCACCACAGCTAACTGACATTGGTAAACATGAAAATGGCTATGACTCAGTCAATTTCACAGAGTTTGAAGTAAAATTTGGTGTGGTTGTAGCTGAGAGTCATTCCCAATATATATGTTTAAGAACTTAATATAAAACTTGAACTTTAACGGTTGGATTCAACCCTGTCTGTCTGTTAGCACAATATTTAATAAATAATTGGATGTTTTTTTATGACACTGTCAGAAAGTAATTACTGGATGTGCACCTACAAATGATTATCTTTTTAAGTCAATTAGATTCAAGATGGCCGCTGCAGCTCTTCAACTTTAGAAACAGCAAAATGGCTATAAATCAGTCCGTTTCATAGAGACCAAGCTTAACTCTGGTGTGCTGGTACCCGAGAGTCATCTCCAACACATACTCTAAACACCAGCAGATCGCAGTAAGATCTTCATTTCAAATCGTTGCTCGTTTCATTCTCTTATGTCAGTTGTCATTTCTACTGTGCAGAACCAGAATCAGAACACATTGTTTCTTCATGCAGCCTTGTTTGTGTGAGACAAAGAGCTGCAGTGTTCAAAACGCTGCCACAATATTTCACATCACTGTAAACTTTTATTTTAGGTCATAATATTCAGTGTAGTGTGGTTCTCAGCTGCAGCTGTGTGGTTTTCAATCATCAGCCCAGCGTCAGTATTTTAAGAAATTCACGACTTCCTGCTGGCGTTGCGCCAGTTTCAGCTGCTGATTGCTTTATGATAAGTTTAAAGGCTCCTGGTGGATGATGTGCCACAAAGACTGTTGCTGTTAAGAACCAGTGCTCTCATGGACAGAAAGGAATGCTGGGTTCTTGTAATTTAAAATAATGACGCCTGCATGGAGGAACGGGCTGTTTGTTTCCAGGGGGAGTCTCTGAGTTTGTTCTGACTCCAAGCAGGAACAAACTTTGATGATGTTTAAAGAGAATGTTGTGCACAGGACAGAGCAGTTTGTGCTTCTTCAGGCGGTTAGGGCCGAATCAGCAGCAGCTGAAAGTGCTTTGATCAAACCGAGTTTTTTCACTTCACTCAGAACTGTTGTCGCTACTTTCACATTTAAGTCCAAGTGAAACTTCTATTTGGGATTAAGTTCTGCTTGGCTGGAGACTTTGACATATTAGAAATCCCACTTCTTAGTAACCGACTGGTCCAACTGATTTTGATCAGGTGTTTCATGAGCTAAACCCACTTCATTTCTTAAACCAGCAGGAGAAAACTTTCACTGAAGGACTCTTTATTTCAGGGTGCCTTAAGCTACTTATCTGGAACATGCCTCGGCTACAAACCATGGAGTTTGAGCACCTGATCTCAGAGCTGCAGCCGCTAATGTGCAGATCTGACACGACTGTTAGCAGAAAGGCTCAATGTGTAATTTACCACTGTCACTGTGGACAATCGGAGCTTTGTCGAGACAGGAACTGGACAACTCCATCAATCAAACTGGGGGAGCGATTGTACATGAGCTCCATCTGCCTGTTGCAGAGATGTGTCATAACTTTGTCTTTGTCCCAACAGTCCAAGAAGAAGGTGACTCCCTACCTCCTCTACTGTGTTTCAACGGCGGTCATCGGCTCGCTGCAGTTCGGCTACAACACCGGGGTCATCAATGCACCTGAGCAGGTGTGTGATTGTGTCCTGCTCACCAAAAACGCTGAATAAATCAGTTTCATTCTCCAAGAGCTTGAACTTCCACTCATGTCAGTGCTGAACACTTCACTGCCCTCAAGCGGGAACGTTCAAAAACTCCTCCCAAAAGTGTTCCATAATTTCCGCCTCCAACGGTGCCATTCTTTTCTTTTCTTTATTTTTTTTCACTGCTAGAAATTGCGAGTGTTTTTCAAGAATGTCTCGGCGGAGCGGTTCGGAGAACCCCTTTCCCCGGGGTCCACCACCATGGTGTGGAGCTTTGCTGTGGCCATCTTCAGTGTGGGGGGCATGATCGGCTCCTTCTCTGTTGGAACTATGGTCAACACCTTCGGCAGGTGAGGAGCCGAGGGGATTTGCTACTTTCATCGCACCCAAAGTGTTTGCGTTTCTTTGCTTTAACAGGCATTTAGATAAATCATGGTACTGGAACTTCTCTGAAGGTAAAGCTTCTTTTGTTGCCTGATTCTTTTGTCTCTCATCATCAGGCGAAAGTCCATGTTGATCGCTAACATCCTGGCTGTGCTGGGCGGTTGCCTGATGGGACTGTCGTCTCTGAGTAAATCGTTCGAGATGGTCATCATTGGCCGGCTGATCATCGGTCTGTTCTGTGGCCTGTGCACCGGTCTGACACCCATGTATGTGGGTGAGATCTCTCCCACCGCTGTCCGAGGAGCCTTCGGCACGCTACATCAGCTGGGTGTGGTTATTGGCATCCTGGTGGCACAGGTACACTTGTAGGATTCGCTATTAAAGAAGTCCATATAAAAAAGACCAACATTAGCGTTAATTATGACTTCATTCCTTGATTTTTATGTTTTAGATCTTTGGTTTGGAGTCTCTGCTGGGTTCAGATGAGCTGTGGCCCGTGCTGCTCGCCCTCACTGTCCTGCCAGCTATACTGCAGACTATCATGCTGCCCTTCTGCCCCGAAAGCCCTCGATACCTCATCATCAACCTCAACCAGGAGGAAGAGGCAAGAAAAGGTTCGTCAAAACTTCCCTCACGTATCAAAGACACAAGATGACATCATCTTCAACTTTAGCCTGTGTTTTATGGAGAGTCTGAAGTTGAGCTTTTCAAAGCGTGTGCAATCAGATGAGAAAAGCTGCTGGTCACCACATGGCAATAATCTGAGAGTTCAGGTTGCCATGGCGATGTGAGGTTCAGCTTTTTCTCCAGCTCAGATTTGAAACTGACTGAAGCTTTTTTTTTTTAAATCCTGATGCGTGCTCAATAATCCAGGTAGAAAAATCTAAAAAAGTTAAATCTGGTCCTCTGGACATTCAAAAAACAAAACAAAGCAAAAAAAAAAAAAAAAAGTAGAAACGTTTCGTCTTTCATCCGAAAGACTTCCTCAGTCTGAGGTGCTGTTTTCAGCTCAGTCTTACAAACAGCACCTTCTCAGAGTAGATCAACCAGTTTGCTGCTGACAACCAAAACCAGCTGATCACATGCTCAAGAAGGACCATCAGCCTAACAATGGATCATTAGCACACTGATGGCTGTTTACTGTTCACAGAGGGCTGAGTGATACTAGCAATCACAGCATTGTAAGAGGGGGACAGTTCAACCCGGAGGCCTCCACCCCTGTTTAATGATGGACGATTTCTTTTCACAAAGATGGCCTCCTTTACTCCTCTCTCAAACCATCGTTCCTCTCTGTCCAGGATGTGAACATCTTCATCCTTGAAAGAGTGACCGCTGGCCTGGAGATGAGTGTAGACCGCAGAGTCCTGGCCTGATGATGTTGATCTTCTGTGCTGGGCCATCCTTTTGGCCAGTGGCTGTTTTGTTTCCCCGATGTAAGACTGATCACAGCCCTCCTGACACTGAACAGCATACACAACATTACTCTGTTTGTGCCGGGGGACTGGATCTTTGGGATGAACCAGTCTTTGCCGTAATGTATTTTGGGGTTTAAAAGCCACTGGGACGTTATGTTTAGAAAATAAACGTCTCAGTTTCTCTGATACTCCCTCAACATATGGAATGACCACTGGTCTGGGTCTGGGTTCCTCCTTTTCACCTGATGGCTGACTGGAGTCCTGTTTGGGTTTCTTCTCTGCTTTCAGGAAGGCCCAGTTAGGATATCCACATTGCTCTAGAGCCTGTCTTGTGTAGAATTTCTCCTTATGCCTGGCTCCTGAGTTAGTGGGGACGCTGTCTGCTCTGTGATACAGAGTCCTGATGACTCCTAACTTGTGCTCCAAAGGGTGATGGGAGTCAAACTGCAAATACTGGTCTGTGTGGGTGGGTTTGCGGTACACCTCAGTTTACAAATGTCCTCTATCAGAGACTGAGACCTCACAGTCCAAGAAAGCCAACCTGCCATTTTTTACATCTTCTCGTGTGAACTTGATGTATTTATCCACAGAGTTGATGTGGTCAGTAAAATGTTGGACTTCCTGAGATTTGATTTTAACCCAGGTGTCGTCAACATACCTGAACCAATGACTTGGTGGTGTCCCTGAAAAGGACGTCAAGGCTCTCTTTTCTACCTCCTCCATGTACAGGTTGGCAACAATAGGAGAAACTGGAGACCCCATAGCACACCCATGTTTTTGCCTATAATATTGCTCCCCATATGTGAAGTAGGTTGACTGCAGGCACAGTTTCAAGAGTTGACACAGTTGTTCTGTGGAAAGCGTGGTCCTGCTGCTCAGAGTGGTGTCTGATTTTAATCTTAAACTGACCACCTCTACTGCATCATCAACAGAAATGCACGTAAAGAGTGATGTGACATCAAAAGAGACCATTGTTTCATCAGTCTCCATGATGACATCCCTCACCTTATCCACAAAGTCCATGGTGTTCTGTATGTGGTGTTCTGAGCTGCCAACTAAAGGGATGAGTACAGACGCCAGATATTTGGAAACATTGTAAGTGACAGAGTTAATCATGCTAACAATTGGTCTTAAAGGTACACCTTGTTTGTGGATTTTAGGTAAACCATACAGACTAGGTGTGGCCTCCCCTGGGTACAGTCTGTGGTACAGAAAACGGTCAATAGCCTTGTCCTGCTCCAAATTTTTCAGGCAATCCATCAACTTCTTCTTGTAACCACTTCCTGGATCTCTTTTCAGAGGTTCATAAGTGTTTAAGTCACTAAGGAGTGTCATAACTTTCTCATGATAGTCGTTCTGGTTCAAAATCACTGTGCACCTTCCTTTGTCTGCTGGGAGAATGATGATGTTTTTGTCCTTGCTAAGAGTGGTGAGTGCGCTCCTCTCCTCTCTACTGATGTTGGAAGGTGGTGGTTTAGCATTGCTGAGGCAGGATGAAACTTTGATTCTGAGTTGTTCTGCTTCACCCTCTTTCATTTTGTTGTTGCGGATTGCTGATTCTGTGGCTGTGATCATCTCCACCAGAGGAATTCTACTGACTGAAGATTTGTCTCAAACCAACGCTACATTCTGACAATAAAACGTCATAGCTCCTAATGACACGGTTTTGGCACCCTGACCTGTTAGCACGCACATCCATGTGACGTTTGTGTTTCTGGTGTAAAAAATGTGAGCAGACAAGTGAGTTAAAAATAGAGGAGCTTCTGATTTTCTGTGGAACGTCTGCTCTCGTTTTCTCTTGGGGTCTATGTGGCGGTTGGGTGTTTTCTTGGAGGCTTCTGGTGCAACAAGTACCAGTCTGTTGGCTTAGAGACTTACATGGTCTTTTTATATTTTCCACCTTACCCTCCAAAAATTGTACCTATTCATTCATGTGGAGTGTTTTACAGATTAGTTAACAAAGAAAAATAAAAATTTATGATGACTTTTCTTCAACCCTTCTGCCTCGTGCAGCACTGGAGCGCCTGCGTGGCTGTGAAGATGTGGATGATGACATTCAGGAGATGAAGGAAGAAGGGATGAAGATGGCTATGGAAAAGAAAGTGACCGTGCTCGAACTCTTCCGCTCGCCGAACTATCGTCAACCGATCGTCATCGCCATCATCCTGCAGCTCTCTCAACAGCTGTCCGGCATCAACGCCGTGAGTGTCCTTCATATTCTGTGAAACAGCGATGTAACATGAACAGTGCGGATCGAGGGAGAGATCCTTAAACTCACACAGGAGATTTAATGTAACTGATATAAACGTTTGTAAGTTGGAGAAGAAAAATGAGTCTTGGCTCAAGGAACAGTTTGACAGTGACATTTATGAAATGAACATTGAATTACTAGTTAAAATTCTAATGAAAAACATGAAAATAAAAATAAAATACAAGTCTTGCTAAATAAAGACAAGTGTAAAGTGAATAGAACATATGTGTAGTGAAGCTAATGTCCACGTGTTAGGACACAAGGTCTCAAGACCGTAAAGAGACAGTTTATATCTGTTGTTGTGGGTAACGACACATTAGGAACAATTAATATTCTGCTTGTTGTAGATAGCTCTTTGAATGACCTCATTTTAAATAAGCTAGGCTCAATTCTGACCAGATTGCCAAGCTAAATGTTAGTCCGAGCAGGACCAAGACCAAAGTGGATTACTAAGAATAACTGCTGTCCCATAAATTTCAGAGTGGTTCATCCACTATTTTACAAAACCTTACGTTGCTGTCAGTTTGTCATTACACATGTATTTTGTCAGAAATGTAGTTTTCCTGAATGCATTCCAAACTACATAGAAGTGTTAGCTTAGCTAGCTGGTCCTGCTGCTATTTAGGCTACGCTTACTAATAACTTAAAATTACTTTTAAATCAGTGTAATGTGAAACTATTGGGAGTGTAATGGTTTATAAATAATGTTTGCATAAACGGTTATACAATATTTTAGACTGGGGTTCTTTTAAGACTATAGAAATTTGTTTTGGCCCTAGCTTCGCTTGGGGTAGCTGTGTTAGCTTGTCAGTTCATCAGAATCAGAATAAGAATAAGCTTTATTATCATTGTACCAAGATATATTGAGATTATGTTCGTACAGTCGTACAAAAGATGGGCGGAGTGCACGTTGCTGCTGCTACAAGAGCGCAGCCTCCTATCCTTTATCAGAATACTTTTTTAGATAGAAAAAGGTAAAAGGCCATGAGGATGGATAGTGGTATTACAAAAAAGATTTCTTCACATCTTGTCTTATCAGGACTCAATTTAAGACATAAAAAAACTGTACCAGCAAGCACAGTTATAGACACATTACATGTGCATTTGACATCAAGACAGTGAGATTTGTCCATGAAGCACTTCCAGATAGGCCATAGTCCTGAAAAGATGTTGGTCAGCCGGCAGTTCTGATAAGCCTGCACAGGCAAAGCTTTTCCTTACTTTACCCATGTCCCAGGAGAAATCTGATAGTCGGCCTGCTTTCGAGGCCAAATGGGGGAGTTAGATTCAGATAAGCCACAATTGTTGATTTTCTTCAGGTAGACTGTTTATTTCTTGTCAGCCTTGAGTCCTGCTTGTGCTTTCAAGAGCTAAAATGGTCAGATTTATGGGCATTCCACTGATCTGCACTATGAGCCTCATTCATTCAGAGCTAAAGGCATCTTCTCCAAACTGAAGTCATTCAAAGAGCTATCTATCACATTTACCTGTAAGGATTGCAGCTGTACCCAGATATAAGGACCGATGAGAACAGAGACCGAGACTCAGAATGAATTTACAGTGTTTATTTACAAGTGATATGCAGTATGCCAGGGAGGAGATGATTAGAGTTCTTGTAGTCAAGGGTGATAATGTTATTGCTGATCTTTCTTATGATGGAGATCGAGGTCAGACGTGGGGAGAGCTGACCCAAATAGTTCCGGGCGAAGGAGGTGTACGTCTGAACAATGGCAGGCGTTAGACAAGTGGTAGGAAGGCGTGGAGGCAGCTGAAGAGGCAAGAAGGAGCTCGAGGTCCACAGAGGAGGATTCAGGAAATGGGAGGACATCAAGTGTTAACCACTGGAGGCACAGAGAGAAATACAAAATCAATAATATTTGGTTTTAGACACGCGTAAATGGTAGAACAAGATATCGTTGGTAGGTAATGCTCCAGCGCTGGCTGAATGTCTTCTGCAGCCTTTTATGCTCCTCATGCTCCACATGTGTTGCTGATTAGAGTCTGGCTGAGTGTGCAGGAGCTGGCAGAGCACAACTCCCACATTACCAATTATTTCCAGTATTACAAGGAAATTAAGTGTACTTTTACAATATCCAGTACCTTTGATTTTAGTAGGAAGAGAGGGAAACTGAAATAATTTGTGATTAGCTAAATGACAATCTCACAAATCAGCTAAAAGGAAACAAAAACAATAAACTAAAACAATGTTTTCCTATACAGGAAATTTCAGTGGTATGTTTTAGGGATGTACAATATTATCGGCATGGTATCGGTATCAGCCGATATTAGTGATAAAGTTAAATATCGGATATCGGCCATTCCATCAAAATAACTCACCAATATAAAATACACTAAAAAAAATATGATAAATAAAAAAAATATATATATATATATATATATATATATATATAATTATTATTTTTTTAAATATAGTATTACATCATTAAAACCCCCATTTTTTACATCTGCACTTGGTAGCAGGCCAAATTGACAAAGACCATGCAGAATAATGTAGTGTTTTAAATCCACAGCAGAGAAAGCTATGTTGTCTCTGGTCTAGGGAAAAATATCAGTTTTGGTATCCATCCATCCATTATCTTTACCCGTTTATTCCATTTTGGGTCACGGGGGTCGCTGGTGCCCATGTCCAGCAATCACTGTGCGAGGGGCGGGGTACACCCTGGACAGGTCGCAAGTCCATCACAGGGCCACATAGAGACAAACAACCATTCACTCTCTCACTCACACCTAGGGACAATTTAGAGTTACCAATCAGCCTAACATACATGTTTTTGGTCTGTGGGAAGAAACCGGAGTACCCGGAGAAAACCCACGCATGCACGGAGAGAACATGCAAACTCCACCCAGAAAGGCTCCTGGACCGGGGTTTGAACCAGGAACCTGTTCGCTGAGAGGCAGCAGCTCTACCAGTTGCGCCACCGTGCTGCCCAGTTTTGGTATCCGTTATCAGCCAAATAAGTTTTAACATATCAGCTATCGGCCAACAATCCAGCATCTTGCATCCCTAGTATGTTTGATTAGTTCAAACAAAAATGTTTCCTTTTCTCTTTTCAGGTTTTCTATTACTCCACAGGCATTTTTGAAACTGCTGGTGTAACTCAACCCATCTACGCCACCATAGGAGCTGGGGTCGTCAACACTGTATTTACAGTCGTCTCTGTAAGTGTCTGCACAGAGTTACTATAAACAAATTTCCCCCCGTTTCTTTTACAAATTTTTGTTTGGTTTTATTTTCTGCACTCCAGCTGTTTCTTGTTGAGCGAGCAGGACGAAGGACGTTGCACCTGGTTGGACTGGCAGGAATGGCCGTCAGCGCCCTCATCATGACTATCTCCCTGGCTTTAGTGGTGAGTGGACTTTTTTTTTTACTTATTATCCAAACTGTTGCTTCCATGTTACATTTTCTTTTTGACTTTAACCCCTTTCCATTCTGATTTTTGTGCAGAAAACCAACCAGTCCTTGAGTTATCTGGCAATTGTGGCCGTTTTTGCATTTGTTGCCAGTTTTGAGATGGGTCCTGGTCCCATCCCTTGGTTCATCGTCGCTGAGCTCTTCTCTCAGGGGCCTCGACCTGCTGCCATGGCTGTCTCCGGTTGCTCCAACTGGACAGCCAACTTCTTGGTTGGACTGGGATTCCCAAAACTGGAGGTACTTTTAACACTGAGAAAATATATTCCATTAAATTATGTCCAACTTCCAGTTTGTTTCATAACAAATTTCTCTCTTTCTTTCAGGAGCTTTGCGGTCCGTACGTGTTTCTCATCTTCATGGTCTTTCTCATCATATTCTTCATCTTCACCTACCTCAAAGTTCCTGAAACAAAAGGACGGACCTTTGACGACATTGCGCAGGGATTCGCTGCCGCACCCGCCCATTCCTTGGTGCATGAGGCAGTGGTTGTCAACTCACCAACCAGTCCAGAACCAGTACCCATGTCCCCCACAGAAAAAGTACCCATGGTGGATCTTCCTTCAGAGAAACAATGAGTGACTGTTCCATATGCAGAAAAGACGGATGACCTCACGCGATTGTAAGAGTTCGAAACTACACCTGCCAGACACTGAACAGCAGGGCAGACTGTGGCTACAGATGTTTTAAACATGTGCCTTCTTTATAATTAAGATTTCTAAAACAGAAGTATTTAACAAAACAATCCCAATTAGAATTCCTTTAGAAATTATAAATAAAACCCTGTAATCCTGGCTAAACTTGACTGTACCAGCAGTGCTTAATGTTTAAGGATATTTTCCCGCAGTGTCGTGCCTCATAAGAGGCTCAACATATGTTCAAGTTTTCAGCTGCCCTCAGTGGTGAAAGGTTGCCGGCTTTAGGGGGTTTATATATTCAGGTCAAGCTTGAAAAGCCTGTTCTGGGTCCTGCTAGTTTGACCTGAAAAGACGGGACTCGCTGTTCTGCGGGTCTTAGTAAAACGCCCTGCTTCAAGTGGAAGGAAACACCAGTTTTTAGTTGGTTATATCCTTAACTATTGACTGAAAATTGATTTTTATTACATTATATATCACATGAATGACTCCAGACAGGAAAATTTAGTTTGCGCTAATAAAGAAGAGCAACAACCATTCTGTAAAGTGCCTACATGAAACCTGTGTATGAACGTGAGAAAGATGAAGCAAAGCACTGCCTGGAAAGAAAAATGCTTTTTTTCGCTACTTAAAAACTCAAACATAAGCTTCTCGGCGTTCAGGATTTTACTGCAGGAGACAACTCAGCTCAAAATATAATAATAAAAAAACTAACTCAGGAGGTTCATATCTGTAAATATTAATATGTTATAGTTAATATAAAGTACAATCATTTACCATCACTGTACTTGGCAAAAATGTCTACGTCTGTTGTAAATGAAACAGAAAGTATAACATCAAAGCTTAGAAAGTGACTTAGATCCTATAAAATAGTATTTAAATAATTTCAAACAAGATGTTTTATTTGTGTACAGAAGCACAAGTCATGCAGTGGTGTTAACTAAAACACTAAATAATTTATATTTATTTCAGTGGTTAACACACAGAAAGTGTCTTTAAAAGTGTTTGTCATTATTTAAGATCATGTGCACATATTATAGATTCTTAAGTCGCTGCGTGTGGATCAGCTGTTAAAACGTCAGTATTTGTACCGTTTGATAAAAACGCTCTTTTCTTGTCTGAGCTCAGCAGCATAATTAATATTTATATTAAAAGTTTTGTTTTTCCACAGTCCCATTATGTCTGTGTTATTTTACTTCCTGATTTTTCATTATATATATATATATATATATATATATATATATATATATATATATATATATATATTGTATATATATTTTGGCACTCTGCAGTTATTAAAGTATTTGAAACATTAACATTTGTAGGATGTATATTTTGCCTTTTTTGTGTGAGTAAAAACACGTAAAAGTCGTGTTGAGCTTGTGTGACAGTAAACATTACTGAAAGTTAATGTAAATTTTTTCTGTCTTCAAAGAACTTGTGAGTTGACTAAATGAGCATTTTATCTGTGATTAATGTCTAATACAATATTGCTTTGTAAAACAGTGAATTATCTTGTCTGCATCAGCTTTTTTAAATTTTTTTATCTTTGTGGCAAAATCACTTGTCGTATTTTTCAGACTATAAGGTGCATTAAGCGAAACAAAACAGTCAGATAAGTCAAACTTTATTCAACTCATTCACAATAACCATAAAATTGGTTTTAGCACAACCAGAATTAATACATAAGGTGCACCGGATTATAAGGCTCACTGTCGATTTTTGAGAAAATTAAAGGATTTTAAGTGTTCCTTATAGTCCGAAAAATACGTTAAGTACAAAACATTGAGTATAAAAAAGCAATCATCAAATAAAGAGCAACATTGGATCTGTGAATGTTTTTCATAAACAGACCCATAAATCAGTCCTTTCTTTTTTACCTCTTACACATTAATATAATTTATTTAAAAAAAGTGCATAAAGATTCTTAAACATAATGAAATTATAGAACAGAAGAATAATAAAGATGGAGAATAATACAAAATGTTTGGTTGTAAAAGTGAAACGTGAAGAGCAGATGACAGAGCATTGTTTAAATCCATCACATCTCTGACTGACAGTCTGTTCGACCTCTGACCTGCAAATACTGACCAACACGTCTCTTCTGGGCTTTTACGAATCAAATATAAAAATTATTATTATTACTTAGAAAAGGAGCAAAAAAGAGAAAAGAATAAAGGCAAGCAAATTAGATTTGTTAATTACTCTTTAATATCTTTTAAACCACACCTATTGTTTATTTCCTTATTACTTTGAGTTCATTCTTTCTTCCTTTTTTTTAGCGTAAACAATTTCATGGAAAAACGAGGTTTTGTTAAAAAAAAAAAAAAATTCTGATTCTGATTTTCTTTTGTTTGTTTTCTTCAATATCTTGGTACCCCTTGCTTGGAGGACCTGGAAATAGAAAGACACCTCCGCACACACACACACCACACACACAAACACATACACACACCCTGGAATGGGGTCATTTAACTGTGTCAAACCAACGCAGCACATCTTCTGTAAGAGGCCACAGTGGTCTGACTGGTCACTGTGAACTGGAGCATGAAAGCCTCACAACAGTCTGCAGTACTGCAGGCTGACCAGCAAGAGGAGTGCACGGTCCAGGAGGGTGTGTATGTGTGTGTGTGTGTGTGTGGGTGTGTGTGTGTGTGTGTGTGTGTGTGTGTGTGTGTGTGTTGAGGTGGTCCTGAGAGGCGTGGAGTGTGTCTGAGTGAGCGGGGATAAATGAGGGGGTTGTTACAGGAAGAGAGGGAAACCACATGAAGCATGGAGAGCATCCAAAACCAGAATTATATTTATTTAGTCTGTAAAAGTAGAAGTGAGATCAACAAACAGTCAAAAACAAAGTTGGGCTCTCTGACACGCCACAGCTTGAAAACTGCAAAGAGCCCAGACACGTGATCAGAGAAATTACTGGAATGGACGTCAAACATGTCTCAGCAGTTGTTTTAAACACCAGACAAACCCGTAGTCATTATTTCCAGCTCATGATTTTGTCACTCCTTATTACTTTTGCTCCGTTTCTCGGATTAAAGTCATAGATCGCATCTTGTGAAGTGGCTTACTTGCAGATAATATCTTACCTGTTGCAGATGACTCTTAGCTGGCTGGTCTGAGTGGGGACAAAGTGAACCGCTGCATTTTTAAAACAACTCCAGCGTCAAACGTGAATGTCATTTTGTACAAACACCTTTTTATATACAATAGTCCCTTGTTTATTGCGGGGGTTACGTTCTGTACCCCCTGCAATAAGTGGAAATCTGCGAAGTAGCGACATTATATTTATTTTTGTATTTATATATATATTTAGGCTTTAGAAACTCTTCCCACACTCTTGCAATGTTCTAAACTCTTAAACCTGCATCATTTTAACAACATATGTATATGTAGCTAAATTTTTCTCACCAGCTCAGCTGAACAGCAGCGGCTCGGTTCTGCTCCAACTTGGTTCCGTTTTGGCGGATCTACCCTACGGGTTCTGTTCGGCTCTCTGGCTCGGGGTACTATCAGTGGGCTCCAGAGAGAACACCGGACCTACAGCTGCGTGTCCCGGCTCGGAAGTCTTCATTGGCTGGCTACCAGCTCTTGGGTTTGTTGATGGGTCTGGGGATCCGGTTCTGCTCCGGTTCTGTGCGGCTCTGAATCCACTGGGCGCTGAAATCACTGTAAAGAACCAAAACTTTTTCGTATCAGATCAAAACTTTCCTTCTGCGTATTTCAGCAGAAGCCAAGGGGGCTTCTGAGTGGGGCACTGTTGGCTTCTGGGAAATGTAGTCTTTACGAGCAGTGATATGGTGTGGCATGTTGAGAAAAAAAACTACAAAATGGCAGCGCCTATGTATTTTATTTTTTGTTAACTTTTTACTGTACAGTCCCAATCACATGAGTAATATTAAAGTTGACAATCGTGTCCTACAATTTATTTTCCCCTCATGATCAATCTTACTTTGACAAACTGCGAAAGAGTGAATCCGCAAAAGTAGAATCGTGAAGTAGTGAGGGACTACTGTACTCTGCATCAGCGTCAGAGAGATTTATTTGTCATTCGCACCACATGTGGTACATGTGGTGGAACGAGATTATGTACACAGGGTCCCAATTACATCCAACAATAAAATGTAAAAGAAAAACAGTAATAAGATCCAAGATATGAACAAAGAAAAACATCAACTAAATAATACACTAAGCACTAATAACATGAAAACATTACGTCGAACAGCAGCACAAACATGAGTTTGTGTGAGCAGATGAGCACGCATGAACACATCAACATGAAACAGATCAGCAGCAACATGAAACAGATCAGCAGCATCATGATGTGATTTTTCACAGTGATTATTCTGGTTAGAAATCCATGAGTCTAACAGCTTCAGGGTAGAAGCTGTTCCTCAGTCTAGTGGTTCTACACTTGATGCTCCTTAACCTCCTGCCTGAGGGGAACGGGGCAAAAAGTGTGTGTGCTGGGTGAGTGGGGTCCTTCATGATGCAGGTGGCCCTCTTCCTGCATCTGGAGGTGTAGATGTCTGTGATGGTGGGGAGGCTGACTCCAACAGTCTTCTGTGCAGCCTTCACCACTCTCTGCAAAGCTTTTCTTTCTGCAGCTGTGCAGCCTCCATGCCACACGTTGATGCTGGAGCACAGGATGCTCTCCACTGCACACCTGTAGAAGGAGGTGAGGACTGAGCTTCCCAGACCAGCTCGTCTCAGCCGCCTGAGGAAGTAGAGCCTCTGATGAGCTTTCTTGATCAGGCTGCTGGTGTTGTTGCTCCAGCTGAGGTTGTGAGGTTGTCGCCAGAAGATACGAATATGCTGACACAGATGTTATGATGTTCCAGCAGGAAGTGCTCCAGGCTGCACAGGAAGTTTCACCTGACCACTCAATCACATGAAATGTGTTATTTGTAAAACTGACACAATTGCGTAGATTTTTAGTGACAACGTGAACTGATATATATATATTTTTAAACAAATCTGAGTTGCTTCAGGACAGCAGCCTGGTC